AGTTAATACAATAATAATAATTTTAGAAATCAAAAACATTAGCCTTTACCAACTTGACATTACTAACCAGAAATTATGATATTAATCATAAACATTCTGCAATTAATAATAATAATAATAATTTTACAAATTAAAAACATTAAATGTAAAAGACCTTTACTGATTTGACATTACTGACCAGAAATTATAAAATTAATTATGATCTTTTTGTACCTTTTGGCAACCAGAGGTTTTAACAGCAAGAAATAAAAACAAACAGTTATTTGTTTTTGAAAAAAAAAAAAAAAATTCTAACATCATGTTGACTATTTTTCTCACACAGTTTAGCTGTGTCTTTTTACACATGAAACTATACAGCAGCCTATGTAATCTTTCTGGAATGGGGTCCCTCATAAGAGGATCATGGTATTTGGGATCCTTGGCATCAACAAGTCTGAGAACCCCTGTGTTTAGTCAAGTTCCTGACATCCTGACATAATTCAAATACAAAGAGGAACATGCAGACTAGGTTATATGTGTCTGTTCCAGTAGTGATAAACAACATCTCAGTAGCGCTCACTTGTGAGTTGACGATCATGTTGTAAAAGTCCTCTTTGGGTGTTTGCATGGGAACAGTCCGGGTGACCTCTGGGATCTTCCAGCTGCTCTTCTTCTGTTTGGCTTTGGGCAGCGGAGGTGGGGGGGCAGAGGGAGCGTTCTGGAGCTCTGCTCGCTGGTCATCCAGTCGACGACCCTGAGAAGTCACCAACAAATCGAAGAACTCCTCCTTCTGCAGGGACGTCATGGAGGAGAACACCACTGTTTGGAAAGACACGGTTCATGAGAGTCCTGTGTGTCGAATTATTTTCCATAATTATGGTGAGGAAATGCATTCAGATTGTGTTTCTTCACCTCTCTGGCTGTGGCGAGGTGTGCTGGGCTCTGAGTAACGCCTCCTGCGGTGCTCCAGACGGAACGAGCAGCGCTGGTCATTGAGTCGCCGGCCCTCTTGTAACGCGAACAACAGCTCACACAAAGCGTCTGGGAAATCTGGAGATATCCTGTGAACCTGAGCGCATCACAAACAAATCATCATCACATCAAATCCTTTCATTGATTAAAGGGACAGTTCACCCAAAATGAGAATTCTGTCATCATGTGCTCACCTTCATGTCGTTCCAAACCTGTATGAGTTTCTTTCTTCTGTTGAGCACAAAAGAAGATATTCTGAAGAATGTAGGTAACCGAACAGTTGATGGTAGAATTGAGTTCTAAGTATTTTTTTCCACATTGTGGAAGTCAATGGCTACCAGCAGCTGTTTGGAAACCAATATTCTTTATTGAACAGAAGAGAGAAACTCATGCATGTTTGGAGTCAAAAGAGTCCATCCATAAGTGTCTAGATATGGCTTAATCTCCAAATGTCAGATTGTTTAGAAAAATAATAGTATCTCCTCAACACAATCCACTCAGTTCCTGACGGATAAAATCAAGGGCTTTTTTTGATGAATATACTTTTTCACTCATAAGCATGCACTTTATAATGCTGATTTTAAATTCTTAATAACGGGATGTGTCAGTTTGCAAATTTCAGGACTAAACTTTTGTATTTTTGTAAATTCCTTTTAAAAGACTTTCTTTTTTTGATGCAAAAAAGGCTTTCTAACCCCATGACAACTAAAGTAACAATCAGAGTCATTATGTGAAACTTTTAAAATATTATTAGTCCATGCCTGTTAGCTTTGGGGCTCATTCACAGTAGTTTTTTTTTTAATTATTATTATTATTATTATATTAACAGTTTTATTCAGCAAGGATGCATTAAATTGATCAAAAGTGACAGTAAATACATTTATAATGTTACAAATGTTTTCTATTTCCAGTAAATCCTGCTCTTTTGAAATCTCTATTCATAAAAGAATCCTGAAAAAAAATATTTATCACTGTGTCCACAAAAATATGAAGCAGCACAAATGTTTTAAACATTGATAATAATAAGAAATGTTTCTTGAGCAGCAAATTAGCATATACTTTTTCACTCATAAGCATGCACTTTATAATGCTGATTTACAAACAGCATTATAACAGCATTATCTTAATAATGGGATGTGTCAGTTTGCAAATTTCAGGACTAAACTTTTGTATTTTTGTAAATTCCTTTGAAAAGACTTTCTTTTTTTGATGCAAAAAAGGCTTTCTAACCCCATGACAACTAAAGTAACAATCAGAGTCATTATGTGAAACTTTTAAAATATTATTAGTCCATGCCTGTTAGCTTTGGGGCTCATTCACAGTAGTTTTTTTTTTAATTATTATTATTATTATTATATTAACAGTTTTATTCAGCAAGGATGCATTAAATTGATCAAAAGTGACAGTAAATACATTTATAATGTTACAAATGTTTTCTATTTCCAGTAAATCCTGCTCTTTTGAAATCTCTATTCATAAAAGAATCCTGAAAAAAAATATTTATCACTGTGTCCACAAAAATATGAAGCAGCACAAATGTTTTAAACATTGATAATAATAAGAAATGTTTCTTGAGCAGCAAATTAGCATATTAGAATAATTTCCGAAGGATCATGTGACATTGATGATGCTGCAAATTCAGCTTTGATCACAGGAATAAATATATTTCAATAGAAAATGCTAATTTTAAAATGAAATAATATTTCACAGTATTACTGCTTTTACAGTATTTTTAATCAAATAAACTCAGCCTTGCTGCACTCTAAAAAATGCTGGGTTATATTTAACCCAGCATTTTTTTTTAGAGTCTGAGCATATAAGAGACTTTTTAAAAACATTAAGAAATCTAACCGACCCCAACCATATGAACATGCTAATATAATAAAAAATAAAATGTTTAAATTTTAGAATGAAAATATCCTAGCTTCAAACTAAAAAAGCAAGCACTTCAAAGGTCCCGCCCACTTAGTGATTCAATAGGAAATATATCAACACAGGAAAGAATCCTGCACTTGTCAAGCCGTTTCATGGTGTCTCAGTTCAGTTAATCATACTATTAAATTTCAGATAATTATTCAACTTTACCGTTTGCTTTGCATCGCCAGGGCACAGTCTGTCTTTGGGCCGCAGTTTTACTTCTCCTTGAGCGCTTGGTTTATCTTGAGTCTCTACTTGTAGCATCTTCTCTGGTCCTGCAGCCGTCCCGTCTGACAGTCCCTTGTCCGTTTTCGTAATATTTTCACGGCCCGCGTGATCTTCCACCTTCTCTTCTTGTTGACTTTCTAGAGTTGCATTCTTCTCCTCATTATTTTCTGCTTGCATTGCTTCACTCTCACCTTTTACACTGTTGTGATCATGTGAACTTCCCTCTGTGGCTTCTCTAATGTCATCCTTTGTGTTTTCATTAGCTGTCCTAACTCTCAGTACGGTCCTTCCTCTGCTGCTGTTTATCGCATCTGAAGGTTCATCCCCCTCTTCGAGGATGAGAAGAGCTTCCAACTGCTTGTCCACCGAGGTTTCAACTTTGACCTCGGAGCAGTTCATCGTAGCTTCTGCTGAGCTGTCCATGGAAGAAAATGTGAGAGCCTATAAAAAGTATGAAGTTAAAGAACTCTCATTTCCATATATTGAACAAGTCGAGACATCGAGAGACACTGAACAGTCGTGCATGTAATCAGCATATACATCTCAAGTATGTCTAATGCCACTTTTTGTAATCTCGCAATTAAAGCGTAGTCTGTAGTAGACATGTGACAACTAATCTTATATAAAATGTTTTCAGTGCACAGCATAGTTATAACATGTAACTGTACTTATTTCAACTCAGATTTAGATAGTAGGTGATATTTTACGGCCCTGCTTACCTTCTCAACTTTAGATGAGTTCAAATGAGGTCCTCTCAGCGGAATGTCAAGTAAAGCCCACATGCATCTCACCTCCGTGTACGAACAATCATTAACTCCCACATATCTCGGCTAAACTATATGAGTGTTTTTCACAAACGAATCTGAAAAGAGCTAGAAGCTGACACGATGCATCGACAACTTCACTGCTTCACAGTCTGCTTGCTCTGTCTCTTCCTGTTCCTCTCTTATGGCCCTGATCCACCCCTATTTATTTAGCCCATTTCAGTTTAACTAGTGGAACAGGCTCATGTGTAGAAATGCACTATAGATGCGCATGATATATTAAACCAACTATTGTTCAAATGCTAAGCTATTTTATAATCATATGTATGAGAAATGTGTGCTGACGCTCAACAGCTCTGAAAGTCTTGCATGTTGAAACTGGCAGCCTGTTTGTTTAACACAGTCTGTGGTTTTGCAGATTTCCTGTTGACTACCAGCAAAACGAGAAGTCAGACTTGGCGATAGAGAATAAGACTTGAGCATGGTGGGGAAACCAAATGAGCGACTAGCATTTAAAATAAGATACTTGACATTCACGTTCCATTTAGCACCAAGAAACATGTGCTGTTTCTCCCCCTGTTGATTACAGTTCAGACCTAAAGCCTCCGGGCCGTGACATGATGACATGTAAACTATGCATTTGCAGAAAGGAATCTTGTATATGTTGAGCAACTCAGTACATGCAAGAATATCACATTTCTGTGATAACTGGCTTTCAAAACTGTGCTTTGATACAAGAGTGAATCTCATGAAAACAGTTATTAGCCATTATTTTAATGATAATTAACCACATTTCTACCCCAAATCATTTTTTGGAATTCTGGAAGTTTCTTAATTTCACTTATCATTCTAATCACTGTAATGTTTTGTTTTATCGAAATCAGCTAACTTAAAGCATAATTGGATTTACATTTCCTTTATCTGTTTATTTCTGATTTTGATTTCAGGATCAAATGCTAACTTAACATGTTCTTGATAGGTTTGTGAGATTTATTCACAAAAACCTTTATCAGCTTTATCATATTTGTGCGTTTACATTTTCCTGGGAACAGAAATCTACATTTTATGGACTTGGTTAGATGAGGTTTCATTTCATTTAACCTCTGAGTGTTTTCATACTGATTTTGACCCATGCAACAGGACTGCGTGGTCACAATGTACTCATATCTTGACTTTTGCATTTGCAGAATGCCTATTTCCATGCAAGGGCACGTTTTTTTTTATCTGTCAATCGCTAGGGGACCCCATCGTGGTGACGCATGGACACACACACACACACACACACACACACACTCATCTATTAATGTACTGTTCAGGATGTTGCAGCCGCAGCAGCCCATCACAGGCAACGGGCCCAGCGCAAGCCGCGGTCTCGGGTTGAACGTCCACCCGGGAATGCATCCCCTTAACCCGGTGCACCCGCATTCTCAACACCGCCCCGATGGAGTCCCCGCGGGCCTCGAAGGCATCGAAAATGGACACGACAACCGCCGAGACATTAAAGATATCCTGCAACAGATCATGACGATTACCGACCAAAGTTTAGACGAAGCTCAAGCAAAGTAAGTAATTTAAAATTATTTCTTTGAAAACCTAACGTACAAGTTTAGCATCGAGCTAACGGTCGCGTGAGACAAGGGCATGCTAAAACATAGAATAATCTATTATCTAACCTTTTTAATGACACCATTTGCTCTCTAATCCAATCAAATACACGTTTATTTGATTTAACAAGACCTAAAATATAAAAAGTTATTACTGTTTAAATAAAGAGCGTGTGCTGAAGTTCACGGCTCAAGTTAGCTGCTTTTGTTTACGTTGTACTTGACTTCAAACAAACTCTTTTTTTCTTCAGTTTTGTAGTATATGCGTTGCAATATAATGATTCGCTATTAGATGTAACATAAATCTATTTATTTTAATGTATCTTATTACAGGAGTAACTTTATCTTTACTCATTCCACAAAAACACAAATCACTGCCTGAAGCTAAGGTGAAAGGCTAATGTGTCAGGAGAATCGAAATCGGTAACGAGTATTTAATATGTTAAAAAATCCAGTTTATATAAAAAGTGAGGTTGTGAAATATTTTATTTTCACTAGCAACGCGATTTCAGTCTTTATATATTTAACGCGAGTCTTACTGTCACGGTTTCATCGGTAGCATGCTAATGTTAGCTAACTGACTGTTGTTTGTTATTTTGTGACAGAAAACACGCTTTAAACTGTCATCGGATGAAACCGGCTTTATTCAGCGTCCTGTGCGAAATTAAAGAGAAAACTGGTGAGTAATGGCCTTGCATTTTGTTTTAGAAGTGGTAAATGGCATAACTAACTTTATAATTGGTTTAAAAGTTGGCGTTGTATTCGGCACAGCCGCCATGTTCTGCAAGAACAAAGCCAGAGAGTGTAAACCTCATAAAAGTGCAATAACTTCAACATTTTCCCTAAATAATCATTTAGATTTGTTTCTAGTTTATAAATATATTCTCAACCCCCATCGTTTGCATGCAATATTGCAGGATTTGAATGTTAAAACAGCACTTTTTACTCAACAATAGCATCATGATTATGGGTTTGACCAGGTATGCAGCTTTTAAAAATTAATCATATAACAAAAAAACAGGGTCAACCCGTATTATTTGCCTGTAATACTAAATTATTTGTGTGCATTCATTTTTATTTTTAAATAGCACTATAAGCACACCAACAACACATGTTTTTTTGTTTGTCTGAAGACCACATTTGCAGTATACCACATTATTTGTATATATGTATTATTTAGGATATCAGTACAAGAACAAAATGGTAATTGGCTTCTATGAGAAAATAACCATCCAGTATATCATCACAAACCTTTTATTTGCATGCAAGAATTGAACTAATAATAATTGCATAATGTATTTGGTTCTTATGAAGTCTTAAGTTTAGGAAATCCCATAAGAGGACTGAGATGTTTACTGTGATGGTTAGTAATTAAATGGCGTTGTGCCTAATGGAGTCTTTTAATTTCCGTGGTTTGGCAAGCTCCCTCACAGCCTGTGGTATTGCATGCAGCGTGTCATTAATCATACACTACTGCAACTATACACTGTTTATTGTACAGCGCTGTCTAGTAACATTTTGTAAAGTATAAATAAAATAAAATCTCTCCTAATTAGAGTATGTGTAATAGAATAAAGCGGTATTTAGGGTGGTTGCAATGTTAAAGCAGTGATGACACAGGAACTGCTTAATGTTTTACCCTTGACTGAAGCACTTAACCTTGTGTTGCTCCAAGGAATAAATTAAAATGAATTTAAACTCATATTTATCTTGTAGGTCATTGACTGCCTTTACAATAATCAAATATGTTGGATTGTAATATTTCTACTCCTGAGAAAATTAAGGGTTTTAAATAAGTTAACCCAAATTTAGTTTTAAGAAATATGGGTCTTGTATATCTTATTTGCTCTCTGTTTTAAATTTGAGCAACTCAAATATAGTTTTTATAGCATGAATATAGACAAATAATTTGGTATGGCTTTTAAATAAACAAAGTCATTACAATATACTTTGTGAAATTATATCTTTGTATTATATCTATTAATGTTTTATTGTTATACATACTATTCACATGCAAAATTTCTTACATTTGACGTTCAAATACCAGTGTACTAATACAATTAGTTATCTGTATTTTTAAATGTAAACATAATATGGTGAATCAAGGCCGTCCTTAGGGGTGTGCAACTGGTGCGTTCGCACCGTGTCCCGCGCTTGAGGGGGCCCCGTGGTGAACGGGGAAAAAACATGGGAAAACTTCATCACTCATAATGCACTTGGCTCAATTATGGCGCTTTTCCACTGCATGGTACGGCTCGGTACGGTTCACTTTTGGGGGGTTTTCCACTGGGTTACAGTACCTGGTACCTGGTACTTTTTTTAGTACCACCTCTGTTGGGGTTCCAAGCGAACCGTACCGTTACCAAAACGTGACGTGTAAACTCTGCTGATCACGGATTGGCCGGAGAGAATCGTCACTACCTGCGTCACTGAACTTGCGACACAAACACAAAAGAACCGCTAGATTTAAATCAGCACAGCCAGCGAAGGATCGAATGCAACTGTTTTGAACGAGCGCACCTTTTTTTAACAACCAAAAAGTGGCTGTTCCCCTTGTTGAGGAAGTACAGACGTTCCTCTCGTTGATAGCAGAGGAGCGGATCCAGCGAGAGCTTGATGGGGCGACGCAGAATGAAAAAGTTTTTTAGGAGTCGCGGCAATAGAGGCGGCGCAACTATAACGACATGTGAATTATCCCTCCCACTCTAAAGCGGTACTGAACTGCAGTGGAAACGCAAACCGAGCCGTGCCGTGTCGTACCATACTGAGCCGAGCCGAGTCGTACCACCGTCATTAGACTGTATGTAAGCAGGGCTTCAAAAATGTGAAAGTGCGATCTGTAGTTTTCACAAAAGTGGTAATACATGCCATACGGCGGACTTTTGCTGACAAATAAACGGGGTATCGTGGTGTAGGCAACACGGAAAACTAATACACAATGTTCATTTACTTATACTAACCACATTGTAACAATACAAAGCTGGTTGAAAATTGGTGAACTTGCCTTTTAATGGATACATTTCCTATTTACAGGTCTTTCCATGAGAAATGCTCAGGAGGAGGAGCCTCCAGACCCACAGCTCGTGCGATTGGACAACATGCTGCTGGCCGAAGGTGTGGCTGGTCCAGAGAAGGGGGGCGGAGCCGCTGCTGCGGTCTCTGCCGCGACCAGCTCTGGTGGGATGTCACCTGACAGCTCACTGGGGCACTCCGACTATAAAAGCAAGTTGAGCCAAATTCGGAACATTTACCACACAGAGCTGGAAAAATACGAGCAGGTACATATCGCTGCCATTGTGCTGGGTAGCCACGCCCCCAGCAAAATCTCATTGGTCCAGAATCCTGCATCACATGGCTTTTTCAGCTGCCTTGTTTCTGGAAGTATATTTTTCATTCACTATTTCCATAGGGATTTAAAAAAAATCTTGTTTAAAGAATTAGAAGAAGTGAACCAAACCAGTGAATCACAACTTTACAAACTTTGATTTGAAGCAAAAAATATTTGAAAATCAGCCAAAAGACAAGGCTTAACAGCTTTAATGAGGAAAGGAACTGCAAGCCCATGAAGCATTGTGAATGACATTGAATTGAAATAATTGTATTAAAAACAATGGAGAAATGTAAGGTTGTTGATTTAAGGATGTTGATTAAATGTAAAGAAACTATATTTTACTTTTAGTGCAAAATATGGATATTACAAAAATTACAAGTACAAAAATTTGAAGTAGTTTAAGATCATAAGGAGACTGACTTGATTATGCCGCTCGCAGTGCTTCATGGGAGTGGATGGGCGCTGAAGAGATCATTTGCTTGTTTCGGTTCTCTGTTTGGTGGAGATTTTTCTGCAGAATCGTGGGTGATGTAGTTTTTCATCAGGAAATCCACTTTTAAACATGATTTTTTTTTAAATAAGTTGAAATAAAGCAGACTGATGGTTTTAATCAAAGCATATAATGTCAATTAATAACCTTGTCGCTCACAGTAGGTCTCACTTTAGTGGTTTATAAGTTATTGTTCAAAATCAGTTCCTCTATGGAGAAAATGAATGGGATTTTTACTTCCAGAACCCAACTGTTGCACTCTGAGTTTGAAATTTGTTTGTGTTTTTGTCATTTTGCACACAATTTTTCTTTGTGTAAGGACAGAAAATGGATGTCTGAATTAAGAAAACACGTGTTCTAAATGTCCTGAGTGATACAAAGCAGCTGCTTTCTAATCTCGTTGCTGTTTCCAGGCCTGCAGTGAGTTCACTACCCATGTTATGAACCTGCTGAGGGAGCAGTCTCGCACCCGGCCCGTGTCTCCACGTGAGATCGAGCGCATGGTGGCCATCATCCACCGCAAGTTCAGCTCCATCCAGTCGCAGCTCAAACAGAGTACCTGTGAAGCGGTCATGATACTGCGCTCACGCTTTCTGGACGCCAGGTGGGTTTGAAATGCATTTTGTGATATTAAATCTTTGCTTTCAATTAGGCCTGGTCGATAAAAACGGTATTGATATTTATCGATGGTACACCTTCTTCGATAATGATATAAAAAATGTTCGATATAGGCACGTGCTATGAGTGACGCAGACAGCACACACAAACACGAACACATGCTGAATTGAGTGATTTGAATGTTAGGAGTGCGAGGGAGCGTCATCAGTGGCGCACGAGTTGCAGTGATAACGATGTAAGTGACGTTGTTGCATTTTGATGTTTTGTTAGTCTAGCCCACAAGACGCGCCGCTGCTGCGTTATGCATTCAAAATATTAGAAAAATATAGAAGGTCAATGCGGAGAAGATCTTGATTAGGTGAAAACCAAAACCAAGCCATTCACACAGATGCATATTCAGCACATTTTTAGACAGACAAATATGACAGCTGCACTCGCGCCTCACACAAGAGATGTAGCCATGCAAAGTTAAAACAGTTTAAACTTTTAGAAAACACGTCGCAAACTTGTGGAGGTTTATTCCTTTTCACTGCGTCTCTTACGTTTTTAAATGCAATCTGCGTGATGGGCGATTCGGCTCTTTGTATTAAGCAATGCATAAATACAAGATGCTGTTTTGTTCATAATTGTTTATGCAATTTACAAAATTATATTTGATTTATGTGAGTTAATTTAGACGTAATGCACGTTTTTTATAGACAGTTATTTCCCTGCGTTGACATTATGTGCTGCATTATATTGCTCATTGCGCCCTCCTGTGGCCTCGGGAGACAAGAAAAAAGTTTCCTTAAGACCTATTTAATCTGCATATAAAACATTAGAAATTAGATATTTGTTTAATTTTTATTTTGTGTTTGACTGTTAAAACAAAAACAAAAATTGTTGTTTGTCTCAATAAATTGGGTTACTTTAAAAATACAGTGGTTAAATTTAAACACTTTTTTTTTTATTGCTCTTTGTTTTAAAAAAGGTTATAAAACAAATGTCAATAATTATCGATACCGAACGATATGAAACATTATATCGTTGATCAATTTTTTAGCTATATCGCCCAGCCCTACTTTCAATATCAGAAAGTAAATTGTTCAGGCTTTCTCCATGGTCTTAAATGTCTTAAGGTGCCTCAGTTTAAGGCCTTAAAAGGTCTTAAATTAGAGCAGAAAGTCTTAAATTCATAAAGACATGGCATTAAATGTTTCATGCATTGCAAAAAATGAATATCTGTGTTTTTGTTTTCCAATACAAAAATCTAAACATATTCAGAATACATCTACTTGAGCAGTCTTGAAAAACTGAACAAATTTAAATGCTTAAAACAAGAACAAATATCTGTCAATGGGGAATGAAAACTTGTTTTCCCTTTCAATTCAATAAATTTTACTGAGCACATTGACATATATTTGTTCATGCTTTAGTCAGAAACTCACTTCATATTGACAGAGAACATGCATATAATTTTCCCTTCAGTTTATTCCTTAATTTTTCTTTACTGGGTCTTAAAAAGGTCTTTAAAAAGTCTTAAATTTACCGTCATAAAATCTGCAGAGACCCTGTTTGTTCTTCATGCAGATGTTGATTTCAGATATTTGTTTGACTATGACATTTTCTTGCTTTGTCAGGCGTAAACGGCGTAATTTTAGTAAACAGGCCACAGAGGGCCTGAACGAGTATTTCTATTCACATCTCTCGAACCCTTACCCGAGCGAGGAGGCCAAAGAAGAGCTGGCCAAGCAGTGCAGTATCACTATGTCTCAGGTACGAGCTCCTCTATCAGATCTAATAGGCTTGTTTTCTTTTGAGTGTTTGAGAGGAGCCTGGCTCTCAGTGCACTATGGGAGCGTCCGGTCATCAGAGACGGATCAGTTTCATTTTGGCTCTGAAATCGTAACAGGTGTCCAACTGGTTTGGCAACAAGAGGATTCGCTATAAGAGGAACATTGGGAAGTTCCAGGAAGAGGCCAATCTGTATGCCATGAAGACGGCCTTAGGGGCGACACAGAGTGAGGAATCACCCCACACTCCAAACTCCACTGGTTAGTTCAAATCTTTAGCTCTGGCGAGGCGTTTTCACACTAGTTTTGGAGATTTGAAATTGGATTGAGCGATATATTTAATACTTATTAAGAAACAGCAATATTTACCTACATATATTTTGCTGAAACTGAAAAATGACAAAGACTTGTGAGTGATCATTCAAACACATTTCTTGAATCTGTTCATTGAATTGAACAATTGGATTCACTGAGATGAATCAATCAAATTAAATGAAACCAAAATTGTGCAAACATGTTTTCAACTGTAACGTGATTAAATAAGTTTGAAAGCAATAAATATATATTTTGTTGTTTAACAATTTAAACAATATATGAAGAGTTCATTTGCAAAAACTGATAACTCCATTTTTATTTATTTTTTTCAGAAATCAAGTTTTTTTTAATTGCGCATTCCAAGTAATATCAGTCAAACTGCAGTTGGGTTGTTTTGATTAAGTAATAATAACTTAAACAAATACATTTTTTTTTTTACATATTAAAAGTTTGTTTTATAGCAGAAGCAGATAACTCCAACAGTCGTTTTTTTGGCAAAAAGCAGATAACTCCACATTTCATGTTTTAGAGTTTAAAAAAACACTGGTTTAATCTTTGTAATCTCCTCAGATGACAATGTAGATGCCTGACAAACGTTGTTGTTGTTGTGATCATAAACTGTATGGATGTGATTAAAACGTTTCAGCTTTTATTTTCCTTTTTCGCCCTGAAGAAGATATCACCGGTTCATCAAGTTCGTCGAAATTATCCATCCTCGATCACTTTTAGTTAGCTTTGAGAAACTCCTCTCAGCTAGCACGTCTTTTCAAAGTGAAAGTAGCCTTGTCACCTGACATGAATACAGCGTTCTGATTCGCTAAAATGGATTTATCGGCTTCTGTTCAAAACAACAAGGGCGCTTGTCGGCTTCTGCAGTAAAACGTGAACTCGCGATGCCTTGAAAGTGGACAAAACCGGCTTTTTTGACAAAACGTGTTTAGGGTTCAGATCGCGCTATATGTGGAGAATAATGCACGGCAATCAGCTCATTTTTAAGTGCCGTTTATCGTTTTTTGCAAATGAACTCTTCATATTAATATACTGTTCAAAAGTTTGGGACCATTTTAATGTTTTTAAAATCTAATAACCTCACCAAACCTGCATTTATTTGAACAAAAATACTGTAAAAGCAGTAAAGTGAAATATTACTACAATTTTAAATAACTGTTTTTTTTTTTTAATGTATTTTAAACTGTCATTTATTCCTATGATGTAAAGCTGAATTTTCTGCACCATTACTCCAGTCTTCAGTGTCACATGATCCTTCAGAAATCATGCTAATATGCTGATTTGCTTCTCAAGAAGCATTTCTTATTATTATTTATCAATGTGGAAAACAGTTGTGCTGCTTCATATTTTTGTGGAAAATGTTTTTCAGGATTCTTTGAATAGAAAGTCCAAAAGAACAGCGTTTATTTGAAATAAAAAAAAATTCAAACATTATATATGTCTTTTCACTTTTGATCAATTCAGTGCATCCTTGCTTCAGACTTCTGCACAGTATCACAATATGATATATAATTTAATATATACACCTCTCATTCTTCCAGGCTCAGGGTCGTTCTCGATGTCAGGGTCAGCTGACTGCTTCCTTGGAGTTCCTCCAATGAACGGAGGTCAGCCTCCCTATCACATGGGGGCTCAGGTACGACTCTCTCAAACTCAAACAGCATTCCTGCTCCCCTGCCGCATGTCATTGTCCCTGTGCATGTGTTAGGATCTCGCTGGTTCAGTAACATTAGAGGGAATGATGTGGTTTTGTGTGTTGGCTTTGCCATGCAGCTCTGCCTAAATGTCCTTTTCCTCTCTCTCTGGTAGGATGCTCAATCACGCTTCTTAGAAAGACTCTATAGTACCAGCGAGAGCCGGGTGAGGAGCTCATTACACGCATGCTCGGTGTCTGCCCTCTATCCATCTCGCTTTTTAAGTGACTTGCATGCACATCACTGTGATCTGTGATCTTTACTTGTTTATGCTTTTTTGCAAGGATTCACATGCTCTGTTGATTATAATTAAGGTCTATTCACATCAAGAGCGATGTGTGAAGTTGCACATGATTTATTTATGAGAAACATTCACACATATGAACAAATGTGAATTACACTTATATGTATCATATATGTATCACATATATACTCTTTGATTGGAAGTATCCAGAAAAAAAATGGAACGAAATACGAATGTAGCTTGATATAATGATAATAATATTGGGTCTATTGTTAGTAAAAATAGTAAATAAGGTGCTTTGTAAATTCTTAAAGTATTATTATTATCATCATCATCGTGATCTGATAGTACCGATTTCACTTCAAATAATTGTGAAATATAAATATATCTTGTTAAAATGATATTAATAGTGTATTATTAGTAATAAAAATAATTGTGCTGTATAAATGTTAGTTATTAGAATTTAATTGTATTGTTGTTAAATGTAAATTAATCTCTAAATTAAATCAGAATATTATCAGATTTCACTTGCTTTAAGCATAAAACAGGAATATATTGATAGAACGACAATATATTAGTCATAAAAATATTAGTAATAGAAATAAAGTGTGGTATAAATGTTTAAATTGCATTATTATTTTTGTTATTATTATCTGACCGTATATATTTCACTTGCATTAAATAAGTGTTAAATAGTAATATATCTTGAAATAATGATAATAGTGTTCACTTATTAGTAATAAAATAATACATGTGATCAGCTTCTCATTAATAATGTGCACCATTTTACAAAATAGCTTTTGATTTATTAAAAGAAGAAAGCATTGCGTTTACAATATGGCTTCTGCAGTGAAATCACTAAATGTCCATATAAAAGAAGTGAACGCTAACACGTTACTTTGAACACAATGTGAACAACATGAAAATAATGTCAAATGTTTTCCTCATATCAATCCAAACTATTACTTTCAGCTGGATCATTGAAAATAACATCTTCAGCATATGCTTAAGCTAATTTTTTTTTTCACCCAATATGAATAGGCCTTAAAGGGATAGTTCACCTAAAAATGAAAATTACCCCATGATTTACTCACCCTCAAGCCATCCTAGGTGTGAATGACTTTCTTCTTTCAGATGAATACAATCGGAGTTCTATTAAAAACATGTCTCTGGCTCTTCCAAGCTTTAGAATCGCAGTGAATGGGTGTTGATATTCAATAGTCCATTAGAAGTCCAATAAAGTGCATCCACATACGTCAGTTAGCGGAAGCTAGAGATTACGGTTTATAAAGTTTTAAAGGGGTCATAGGATGCCCATTTTCCACAAGTTGATATGATTCTTTAGGGTCTTAATGAAAAGTCTGTAACATAGTTTGGTTAACATTTTTCAATGGTAGTGTAAAAAAAACACCTTTTTTACCCTGTCAAAAACAGCTCTTTTCAACTCAAGCCGTTTTTGTAGCATTTTCCTTTAAATGTTAATGAGCTCTGCTGACCCCGCCCCTCTCTTCCGAGCTGCTCTCAGAGAGACGGTTTACTTCAGCCGCATTCATTGTCAAACTTGCTAATCTACACATTGTTAGGAAAGGCGATTTGCAAAGATTCATTACAAAACATTATACTCACTTCTTCTGTAGATGAGGCTGGTTCATGAATGATTCGCGCGAACATGGACGCATTTATGTAGATCGGGGGCGCATTCCCTTCAAAAACAATGTAATCCACTGCGTCTTCAGCGGCTCAGATGTCGGGAGTAAAGGCCCGTTCACACCAAGCAAAAGTGCATGTAGCATCCTATGACCCCTTTAAATATGGATATTTTTCTTACACAAATGCATCGATTTGCTTCAGAAGGCCTTTATTAACCTCCTGCAGCCGTGTGGAGAACTTTTTGTGATGGATGGATGCACTTTATTGGACTTCTATTGGACTTTTGAATTTCACCCATTCACTGCCATTATAAAGCTTGTATCAGCCAGGACATTTCTTAATATAACTCAGATTGTATTCATCTGAAAGAAGAATGTCATATACACCTAGGATGGCTTGAGGGTGAGTAAATCATGGGGTAATTTTCATTTTTGGGTGAACTATCCCTTTAAATACTGTCATGGATGCTAGTATTTTAATATGTTTAGAGATCTCTGTACATGACGACTTCTGTTTGTATGGTTTTAACAGCAGTTTTCTGTCTCTGCAGACTAATGGTAACTGGCAGGAGCAGAACACGCCACCCTCCGCCACTTCACCCGGCAGCGATCACTCCGACAACTCTGACTGATGAGCTCCTTCCGCTGACGTCCCGCTCAGACACGGGAGGACAAACGGAATGACGAAAGAATGATGGTCACTCGTCTACCCAACTGCAGTTTTAGTTTTTCGCATTTTTGTTTTTAGAAGCTCATTATCAGACTTGACATTGAGCCTCATTCATGAAACACGAGCAGAGATTTTAAATCGTTTGTAAATCGTTCATAAAGCCGTTTTTATGAAAATTGTCGTATTCCATTCAATACGGTAATTTACAAAAGAATGGGCCTCATTAATGAAGCATGAAGTAAATTGTTTGTAAAATGTTTATTTTTTGCATTCAGTTCAATGTGAGCAGAACAGATTTCAGTCTCATGTATATATATATATATATATATGTGTATGTGTGTGTGTTTGTGTGTGTAAAGCTAATTTACTTAAGTTTGTGTTACAGTTCATGCAGTTTATGCATATGCATACATATGTGTGTGTGTAAATGTGTATATATATAGTTTTACAAACAACTTAAGCATCTGTTGAGCTTTTGTTTCATGAATAAGGCCCTTTTTTCTGTTTGGATGAATGAGTGTGTTTGTGTGAGAGAGGAGCTGGATGAGATCTTGGCGTATATTTGCCGTTATGTATTTTATTTTAGTTTTATTTCACTTTTCCACTACATTAAAACTTCCACTATTTGTTACTGCAATATCTGGATGTTGAAAGGGGAACTTTTTAAACTGCATTAAGACTGCTTTCATTATAGTTATTATATTATTATCATCACTGCTCTATATTGTTTATTCAGAGCTCAGATAGAATTGGCTTTGGTGAAGGGGGCAAAAGAGAAAAATCCAAAGATTGTTTTTTTTTCACATGTGTGCGTTTCTCTTTTTTACTGGGTTTGTGTATGTATCAGTTATATGAATGAGGTGTGTTTGCTGTCTTTATTTACCGTTTGAATGAGTATATCAACAGTGCTGTCTTTTCTCTGTACAGTGAAACACCTGTATTCTCTACCTCTTTTACAATAAAGACTGTCTGTACACATTCATCATTTGCAACAACAGTTTTATGCATTTTCAGTAGTCTAATTCCTTTTTTCTTTATCTTCTCTCACATGCTGCTTTGGATGGTGACGGCGGGCTCATTACTGACCCTCTCACAGATTTTGGAGTTGCAGTTCCTTATATTCTCCCTCTCAGAGTCCATCTGAGGTGCACTGGGCCCGTTCCCTGTGGTTTTGCTATCTGATTGGCTGGCCGCTACTCTTGGGTGGGGCATGATAACTATTTCTACATGCTCATTGGCTATTTTTTCGACTGGCACGGCTACGGACAACTCTGGATGGTTGCCACTGGAGCGGCGGTTCAGTGCATGCTGGGTACAGGAGAACGAGCGCTGTCGTGGTGCGGGTTGTGGAGACCAGAAGTGAGGCGTTGCCGCTCGAGTAATGTCCTGGGTCATCTCCCTCTCCTCGTCCTCCGCCTCTGACGTCACTTCCTGGAGAGTGCTGATAGGCCGAGTTGGGCGGCCAAGAATCCTTGGGCTGACCAATGCCATTGCTGATTGGTTGGGGGCTGAACACCAGTTCTGGGGGGAGGAGCATTGGATTCTTCCCATCTGCCAATCACTGTTGAGAACAAAACATGTGAGCATGCTGGTAAAATTGTATATGCAACTGGAAGGAACAGCTGCAGAGCTGACTTACGTAGGTGGAGGTGTTGACATCCCCCTGTGGCCGATGACCCCCGAAAACGAGGCACTTCTTCCAGGCAGACATGGAGGTGAAGCGACCCAAGGAGAATAGACGTACGTGCGATCGTCCCAGAGCACCTCAGTGGCGGGATCTTGAGGAACCGCCACCCTGGGAACCCTGTGAGCCAATAGGAGCTCGAGGACCTGATGATGTAATCCCTCTTGAGCCACATCCAATGGCCGCCGCCCCTTGCAGTCAGACAGATCTTGATTGGCCCCGTTGAGCAGCAGGAATCGAGTGGTGTCATAGCAACCATGGAGAGCCGAGAGAAACAAAGCTGTTTCACCCTATACAGAAAGATTGAGTTTTATTCCATTAGTATTGGAGGATTACTATCGTATGTTCGTTCGTTTGTACATTCTATCCATCCATCCATCCATCCATCGTCCTGTCTGTCGTTCCATCTATCTATCTATCTATCTATCTATGTATCATCTGTCCGTCCGTCCGTCATTCGTTTGTACATTCTATCTATCTATCTATCTGTCTGTCTATCTGTCTGTCTGTCTGTCTGTCGTCCTGTCGTTCTGTCTGTTGTTCCATCCATTCATCGTTCTATCTATCTATCTATCTATCTATCTATCTAATTAAGACTGCTTTCATTATAGTTATTATATTATTATCATCACTGCTCTATATTGTTTATTCAGAGCTCAGATAGAATTGGCTTTGGTGAAGGGGGCAAAAGAGAAAAATCCAAAGATTGTTTTTTTTTCACATGTGTGCGTTTCTCTTTTTTACTGGGTTTGTGTATGTATCAGTTATATGAATGAGGTGTGTTTGCTGTCTTTATTTACCGTTTGAATGAGTATATCAACAGTGCTGTCTTTTCTCTGTACAGTGAAACACCTGTATTCTCTACCTCTTTTACAATAAAGACTGTCTGTACACATTCATCATTTGCACTTAAATATTGTTTTTCTAAGCAAACGATCAGTTTCACCTTTATGTTTATCGTTGAAAAATGTTTACTTAAAATATGGCAATTGTAGCCCATTTTACTTACATATTTCAGTCAAGTTGGACTCTATGGAAGTAGCGTCTCACAAAAGCGAGAAAATTTGGTTACTGACACCATTGTGAAAGATACACTGGAGTGGACCATTCTAGAATCTTCATCTCATGTGAGTGCACTTCATGTTAAATACATTTACTATTCATTTCTTTAGGTATAATACTTTTTTTGTGGACTACATTAGTGAACACCGCAAACCCTCCTAAACTCTAAAATGGAGAGCAGATCAGGTGGCAAGAAAATGCAATAAAATATAATAGAATGAATTTCTTAAACTCGATTTCAAGAGCATGTCCAAATTATATTTCATCCCTAAATCAAAAGAAGGATTTTTTTTCTTACAGAAAATTAAGCCTATTTTTTAGCTTAATATTGTATGATAATTAATATTTGAGTTCATTATGATACTGTAATATAGTTATTGTAATATATGATGTTATTATTTGCATGAAAATCAAGCAATTCCTGTAGTGCAAAAAAATCTAATTCTCACTGCTGTAGTGATAAGATTTTTTTTTATTTGTATATTTTGTGTTGTATTATATTAAAGTAAACCCTAAATTAATATAAAGCAAAACATTATAACTTATAACAAATATAACAGTAATCAGGGAAAAATTAAGGGGGAAAATCTGTTTTGTTGTCATAAAAACAATGTAAAAAAAATTA